TATTTAAGAATCATATAAGAAATTTAGTTGAGTTTCGTAAAAGTACCTACGTCACATAAAATGGAACAGAAAGAGTAATATATATTATTTGAAAATGATATAAGAAGTGCTATAAATCACAATAAATTAACAACTTCAAAATATATTTAACAAAATCACATACAAAAAATTATATAACTCTCCAAATTTCATCGGTGTCACATAAATTGAAACAAAGAACTACTCCCAATTTATGTTATTTACTTTCCTTTTTAGTCAGTCCCAAAAGAATGTCACATTTCTATATTAAGTAACAATTTGATTATAAAATATTTATTTTACCCTTAATGAAATAATTTACAGTCATACAAATTTATATCATTCATTTTGGACCACAAATTTTAAAAGTCTTCATTTCTTTTTTAAACTCCGTGGCGAATCAAACTACCTCACATAAAATGAGACGGAGGAAGCAATATACATTGGGCCCGCGCTGGCGCGGGAACCTAATAACTAGTATATATATAAGAGGGGATATATTGATTGACAAATAACTTCATTCATGAATTGTGATATGGCGAAGTTAGGGATTGAAATTGAGATAAGGAAAATGTTGAAGCCCTCAGCTCCTACCCCGAATCATCTTCGGATCCTCAACCTTTCCTTGTTCGATCAGCTGTCTCTTCCTGTATACAGTGGCGGATCTAGGATTTAGAGTCCGTGGGTGCCAATAGACTTATCCATTAAAAATTATAAAAAATAAAATAATGTGCCAGCTATTTTTCCTTAAAAAAACGTGCTTGGAGCCTTTTTTTTTCTTCTTAAAAACGTTTGCAGTAAATTTCTCAAAAAAATAGGTACAAATGGGATTCGAACCCGCAACATCAGCCTTCTAAAGTTGCCCTCCTACCGTGGCACCACAAGCCAGTTTTTTGTTCACTGGGTGGCACGCTTTATATTTATATAAATATTTTATATATATATATATATACCTATGTATATATAGAGTTTTCGTCGAAGTTCGGGGGTGGCGTGGCACCCCATACCCCTTCATAGATTCGCCCCTGCCTGTATATGTGTCAACACTCTTCAACTACTTGCCCAGCACTATATGTACTGCTCAAACATCATGTAATAAGCTTCAAAAATCTTTGGCCCAGCCGCTAACTAAGTTTTATCCTCTAGCTGGAAGATTATTTAGAAAAAATGATTATCATCAACTCTCAATTCATTGCAATGACCAGGGCGTTGAGTATGTTGAAACCAAAGTCAACGCAGATCTTGCTGAATTTCTCCATCAAGGACCTAATAATGAGCCTTTGGTTGATCTTCTTCCTAAAATGGAACATCGGCCATCAAGTCCATTAATTGGTGTTCAAGTGAACGTATTCAATTATGGTGGACTAGTCATGCGGATACAAATTTCACACATCGTAGCTAATGCTTTCACTTTAGCAACATTTGTCAATGAATGGGCGTACACTAGCCTTACAGGGACCACAAAAGATTGTCTCTCAAATTTCGGTCACTTGTCATTGCTCTTCCCCACAAGAGTGCTATCAGGATCTCAATATTCACCACCACCTCCCAACACTAAGGGCCCGTTTGGCCATAGATTTCCCAAATAATATTTGGGAAAAAAATTGGCAAATAGTGTTTGTCCATACAATTTGTCATTATTTGGCAAATATCTCAAATTCCCAAATACTAGTTTTTTCTAGTATTTGGGTTAAATCTCATTATTTGGGATCTTTTGAAATTGAAATTTTACCCCAAATTTTTATCTTTTACAAAAACATCCTCTATAGTAGTTGTTTGTGTCGTATTACATAATTTTTTCAACGTTGAACACCAAAGTAGTGATGAAATATTCAGTGAATGTTAAATGATGATATGGTTGTTGATGAAAATGATGAACAATAGGCTAATGGGTAACAAAGTTCATGTGCTTTGTCTACTTAACGATTTTATGGAATGATGCTTGTTGCACTCACTCCAAACTACCACATTGCTCTAGTGTCATGAACACTATTTGTTATTGTTGCAACGAAGATTCAATTGACTTGTAATACAAACTTATGGTTAGTTTTGATAGTTTTTAAAACTTATGGGTATAAATCACATTTTTCTAAAAAAAGTGAAATATATTTCCCAAATACTATGGCCAAACACATGGTGAAATTTCACCCAAATTTTCACCCAAATAATATTTGCCAAGAATATTTAGAAATCTATGGCCAAACGCTAGCTAATACTCGCCCTAAAATTGTCACAAGGGGGTTTATCTTTGATGCTGTGGCAATAGCAAACCTCAAAAATACAATCGAAGATTCAAGCTGACAGCAGGCGGCTACTAGAGTGGTGGTAGTTATGTCGCTATTATGGAAGGTTCTTGCAGGCATTTCTTTAGCCAAATATGGACATTCAAGGGACTCTTATTTATTATTTTCTATTAATTTGAGGGGAAAATCAAAGCTACCATCTTTAGAACATGGTCTAGGGAATTGTACCATGTATGGAATTGCTAATCTAGAGGCAAGTAAACACTCAAGAAAGGATGAGTTGAATGATTTTGTAAAGTATATAGGAAATACAATACGGGCCGGGACACATGTGTAGCCATTGGTAAGGCGTCAAGTGTTGATGATGTTTCCTCTTTAGTTGTTAACAATCACACAAAAGGTGTAGACAAATATCTCCAACGAGACACGATGGATGTTTATCCGATTACTAGTTGGTGTGGATTCCCTTGGTATGAAGCTGACTTTGGATGGAGAAAGCCATTCCGGGTGACCTCCGTTAGCATCAATGATTATGAAGCAATTGTTATGATGGACACAAAAGATGGTGATGGAATACAAGCATGGATTGGTTTGAACGAGAATGACATGACTCAATTCGAGAGAGACCCTCACATTTTGTCATCTATTTGATTATGAAGCAATCAATTGTTATGATGGACACATACGTACCTTCTTCAATACAATAAAAATGTTATGTAATTTTTTTTTAATTAAACAATAAAATTCTTATTTGCTTAAAATTTTATAGTATTACTTGGCTCTAATCCGGCACCGGGCACACCTCTTGTATATTATTCCAACAAGTTAAGAGAATCCTTCTACAAATACACTATGTACATTCATTCCTACATATTTTAATTTGTACCCCGGCCCGAATCTTACTGAACGCCTCCATCAAAGGATACGGGTGTTCACGGCTCGGATTGAGTCCATTAATTATATCAATCTAATTGGTTTTTAAATTATTAAAATCAAATCAAATTAAATATGGCATAGATTTATCAATTTAATTGTTATCGATTTTGGTTTGATTGTTTTCTTATTAATCATACACAAAAATAAACTCAAAAGACAAGGTGGAGATATAGAAAAACATACATGTTCGTAATACTTTTTGTTTTGGCCTTTTTTGCTTTCGTAAATAAATTTTGATTATAGAAAATATCCATAAAAAATAATATATTATGTATATATAATTATACAAAAAGATAATTATATAATTCGTTGATTATTTCTTTGGTTTTTTGAACAAACCCAAACTAAATATAATCAGTTTTTTAAAAATGTAAAATCAAATCTGAATAAAATCGATTTGATTCGATTTATTTCAGATTGATTTTTATCCAAATCGTGAACACCCCTAAACACGACAACGTAACAGTTTTATGACATAAAGTATAATAAAATACTACACAAAGTATAATAAAATACTACACAAAGTTTTTAGTTGGTCTTTGAAATGCAGCTAGTAGTATCACTAAGCACCAAATTGCAAATAAGTGAGAAAAGTGTGTAGAACGTGACTACTTTGGCTGTTGTCATGGCTGAATTTAAAATTACTTTTAACATAGTTTTTCAGGTAACAAACATTTAAACAAGTAGCTCTAGTCCAAAATTATTGTATCTATTTTGGAGACACAGAATGCCGTTCCCACACTAACAAGTATGCAAAGTCAATATGGGATAACTAAAGCCCCTAAATCAACGATTCAGTTTATGACTCATGAGTCATGACAATAAACTAATGCAAATTTACAAGCCATGATTTTAATTTGTGATGACGATAAATAATGCAAATTTATGCACAATGATTTCGTGCTGGCAATAAACTAATGCAAATATATACGTAAAATGTTGGCCTTCAAATATGGACTAAGGCCTCTATAAGAGAGTTCGTTATCTAGGGATCAATTATTATTCAGAAACCTTTTGAATTATTTATTAATTTGTTGTTGTGAGTTTTGGTTGTTTCATGGCCAAGTTAGAGATTCAAATCCAGATGAGGAAAATGATTAAGCCTTCAACACCTACCCCGAATCATCTCCGGAGCCTCAAGCTTTCATTTTTTGATCAGGGGGCTCCTCGTTTATATGTACCAATATTGTTCCATTACTTGCCAACAGGTGAATGCAACAGGGAATTAGGAATTATTGAAAAATGTGAAAAGCTGCAAAACTCTTTGGCTGAGACGTTAACCAGTTTTTACCCTCTAGCTGGAAGATTTATGGAAGATAAATTCTTGATTCACTGCAATGATGTAGGTGTTGAGTATGTTGAATCCAAAGTCAATATGAATCTTGCTGAGTTTCTCCGTCGAGGACCCAAGATTGAGCTTTTGGATGATCTTCTTCCTGAAATGGATCAGTCATCAAGTCCATTACTCGGTGTCCAAGTGAACCTATTCAATTGTGGAGGACTAGTCATGGGGATACAAATTTCACACATCATAGCTGATGCTTTCACTTTAGCAACATTTCTCAATGAATGGGCAAACACTAGCCTTACAGGGACCACAAAAGATTGTCTCCCAAGTTTCGGTCACTTGTCATCACTCTTCCCCCCAAGAGTGATATCTGCAGGGCCTCAATTTTCACTACCATCCATAGAAGGCCCTAAGATTATCACAAAGAGGTTTGTGTTTGATGCTTTTGCAATAGCAAACCTCAAAGACAGAATCAATCCGAGTACTGCCATATTCACTCGAGTGGTAGTCGTTATGTCATTAATATGGAAAGTTCTTATGGGGATTTCATCAGCCAAACATGGACATTCAAGGGACTCGTCTTTTGTATTTCCTATTAATTTGAGGGGAAAATCAAAGTTATCATCGTTGGAACATGCTCAAGGGAATTTCTATGTGACTGTAGCTGCTACTCTTGAGGCAAACGAGATGAGAAGAGAGTTACATGAGTTTGTTAACGCTATAGGAAGTACAGCAAGGAACACATCTCTCAGCATTGGTAAGGCGGCAAGCGTAGATGAAATTATGTCTCTGTCCATTAACTGTGGCACAGAAATCATTAACAAATTTGTTCAAGGAGACGCGATAGACATTTATCCGAGTACTAGTTGGTGTAGATTTCCCTGGTACGAAGCGGACTTTGGTTGGGGAAAGCCAATGTGGGTAAGCAGCGTTGGCAAAACATTTGAAGTAATTAGTCTGTTTGATACAAAAGATGGCGATGGAATAGAAGCATGGGTTAGTTTGAAGGAGAATGACATGCTTGAATTCGAAAGAGACACACAAATTTTGGCCTCAACAGCATTTGATTCTTCGATTTGGATAAAATGATTCATATATAAATCTACTTATTGATCGTGACATTATCATTTTAAGTCTACTGATCCACATAATCATAAAAGTCTAGCTAGTCGTGTAATAAGATTTTGTTTTGCTTTTGTCCTTTTTATTCGCGCATAAAAAATAAATTGAAGGTTTTGTGCAAGGAATAGCTAATTAGTTTTTTTATGAATTGAGTTGTTGAAAAATCTCTCACATATATTATTGATGAACAATAGCTGTTATAATGGGGGGGGGGGGGAAATTAAAACTGATTTCAACTTATTTGGAAAAATCAATTTTAAAAGAGTCATCATTTAATTTTTAAGAAAAATTATTATTTAAATGATTCTAACAAATTAAGTTTTAAAAATAATTAGGAGAAAAAGTTAAGAGGCTTAAATTTCCACTTTCAAAAGGTGTTAGTGATAACGTGCGGTTATTCGACAATTTGAAAAATTATTCTTGACTAACTTTTGGGGGGAAAACTTAAAAGGAAAAAATTTTTAAAGTAATTTGAAAAATAATTAACTTAAACACTTGAAATAATTTGTAAAGAGTAAAGTTTGTTAACAACGACCAAGTAAAGAAAAGACGTTTGAGTAAAATCATTTAAAAGAGTAAGCCAACATAAAATGATCCATCTTTGGGGGATTTAATTAAGTTAGTTTAAACATTTAAAGTTAGAATTAATACATGATAAACAAATACAATTAAGTAAAAACAAATGAAATAATAAAATTGGGCCCAAGACTGGTTTCTGTCCGCCTAAATCAGTTACTTGGGCCAAACTGCTGATTTTGGGCTTTTCAGCCCATTTTCAGCATGTATACTCAGTCGTATACAATATAATGAAAGTTAAGATCAATGACTTATCAAGATTTTTCTCAAAGGATATCCACTTTGAAGAAATAGATAAATAATTCAATTACTTTAACAAGATCATATCAATTCAAAAACAATTCAAAAACATCACTATAATTTCCTTCGATGATGACAATCTAAAATGAAAAAGGAAAAAAAAAAAAACTCAATTAACCAACAATTTCATCACAAATATTTTTATATAATATATTAACAAGAAGTGACTAGGTTGGTCTATTGCCAAGTTGGTATTTATCAAAATAAAAAATTTAAAAGAGAAAAAAAAAACCTTGAGAAAGTGCATGTACGTGGGGGGATCAAAGTTGTCAATCATTGAACTAGGAGAACATTATTATAAAATGTGGATTAAAAACTCAAATAAGTAAAGTGATTAAGCCCCTAAAAAAAATTAATTTAGTTATATCAATTATTAATCATGAGTATGAATGGCAATAAACAAAGGAAAAATTATAGAAATCCCACCTTTTAGTTTACTTATTACCATTATCCCCTATAAGTTTTACAAATCTCTAAAATTCCTCATTTTCGCGCATCAGATTAGTGTATCAACGCTTATATTATTGTATCTCGCGCATCAGATTAATGTATCAGCGCTTATATTATTGTATCTAGTATTTTGTGTTTTTCTTATGTAGAATAGATAAATTAAAGATTATTTAATTTAGATATAAAGAATTATATTAATTAGAAGCAGGATATCAGATGTGTTGCAGAATATGAAGAGTGTGATTGTGCATAATCAAAAGAGAGAGAATAATATTGTGTCAGATTTTTAGAGTTAAAGAATGCAATCGTATTTGATACGATGAATTGTTTAATCCAATTTTCATGCCATGTTTATTTATTAATTAAATAAACTAAGGCTTAAAAAGTTGCATAAACATGTTGGGCAGTCTGTAGAGTTGAAACTATATATAATATAATGGCCTGCATACCAGGCATTATATATATGTATATATAGTAGCAAAAGAAAGAGAGAAGCAAAAGTAATATATACTCAAATTACTTTCTCTTTTGTTTATTAAGTCATCCACCAAATAAAATCGTAATGGCCGATATTGAAATTAAGTCAAGGAAAATGTTGAAACCCTCAGCTTCTACCTCGGATAATCTTCGGATATTGAAGCTTTCCTTGTTCGATCAGCTGGCTCCTCGTTCATATGTACCAATCCTCTTCAACTACTTGCCGAGCAGCACTTCATCATATGATAAGCTTGAAAAATCATTGGCGGAGACGCTAACCAAGTTTTACCCTTTTGCTGGAAGATTTGGAAAAGATGATCCATTCTCAATCGACTGCAATGATGAAGGTGTTGAGTATGTTCAAACCAAAGTCAATGCAGACGATCTTCCTGAATTTCTCCGTCGTCAAGCCAATGATATTGAGTCGTCTTTGCTTCATCTTCTTCCTGTAATGGTTCATATGCCATCAAGTCCATTACTTGGTGTCCAAGTCAATGTATTTAATAATGGAGAAATAGCTATAGGGATAAAAGTTTCGCACATCATAGCTGATGCTTTCACTATAGCAACATTTGTAAATGAATGGGCGCACACTTGCCTTATAACAGGGACCATCAGTACACAAGATACTACTAATAATAATTTTTTCCCCAGTTTTGGTCAATTGTCATCGCTCTTTCCAGCAAGAGTGCTACAGTTGCCATCACCTCCCAACACTAGTACTACTGACCCTGAGATTGTCACAAGGAGGTTTGTCTTTGATGCTCTCACAATAGAAAACCTCAGAAAAACAATCAAAGACGATTCAACTACTGATGACGACATGATCAAGCAGCCTTCTAGAGTGGTGGTCGTGATGTCCCTAATATGGAAGGTTCTTACACACATTTCTTCCGCCAAAAATGGAAATTCAAGGAACTCGTCTTTAGGATTTGCTATCAGTTTTAGGGGAAAACTGTCATGTGTACCGTCTTTAGAACATGCTCTAGGGAATTATGTAACGATAGCAATTGCTAATCTAGAGGCAAGTGATCACTCAAGAAAGGATGATCAGTTGAATGATTTTGTAAAGTTGGTAGGAAATACAATACGGGACACATGTGTAGCCATTGGTAAGGCGTCAAGCGTTGATGATATTTCCTCTTTAACTGTTAACAATTGGAAAAATGGTGTAGAAAAACTTTTCCAAGGAGACACGATGAACACTTATATCACCACTAGTTGGTGCAAATTGCCTTGGTATGAAGCTGACTTTGGTTGGGGAAAACCATTTTGGGTGACCCGTGTTGGCTTCAATGCTATTGAAGGAGTTTTTCTGATGGACACAAAAGATGGTAATGGAATACAAGTAACGGTTTGTTTGAAGGAGAAAAAGATGACTGAATTCGAGAAACACCTTGACATTTTGTCCTCCACTCCCATAGTTGGATAAAATGAAACTACTAAAATTTCTTGTTTTGCGTTGCTTTGCTTGTTGCTTCCTATTTTCTTCATTCATCACAAACCAATGTTTGGCTATGAGATTAATAAGCCAGTTAGTCGATATTCAAACTATCTTTATGTATGTATGTGTGTTAGCCCATCGGCGCTTGGGAGACATCCTATTTAATAAAGATTGATATAATATCTTTCTTGTCTTGTTGGTCTACTAAAATGAACTGATTATAATTGTGAAATCATCATTTCTACAAAAGAGGAGATCAACCAAAATCAATTCTTTTTAATTTATACGATAGATTGCTTGAAATAAGATCACAAGATTAATGTAATAAAACCAATAACCTGCTAGAATAAAAATATTCGGATATATAACTAGTGAACTTATCGTGGTTAAGATCAACGATCTCATTATATTTGTTAAATGATTTCTTCTTGATAATCAAATAACGAGTCCGGAGCCAAAAGGGCAACAAAAAATTTCAAAAATTACAAAAGGACAACTAAATTATTTATCAAACCAAAAGGGCAACTAATTTTAACGGCTTTTAAATCAAAGTTTCCGCCCCGCAGAAACCCATGCGCCTTACAAGGCTATGACAGCTTTTAGCCTTAGGCGCAGGCCCACCTGCATTTTGTAGGCTTGGGATGTTGCATTGAGGACGATGAAGGTCGATATGCACTTTAACTTGCGGTGGTTGTACATCGAGTTAATGTTAGTGCTCAACTTTTTTTATTTGATCTTCCAGGTTGGGGAAGTAGTTGTGATTACCTGCAAGCCAGAGTATGCCTATGGATGCGCTGGGTCCCCACCGGATATCCCCCGAGTAAGTTAACTCTGTAAATCTTTTTTACATGCTGCAAGCGTCTCTTTAAGTTTCCTGCACCGGTTTGCTTCCTTCTCTGTCTTCAATGTTAGTGACAGCATTGAAGTCTCACATTATTAACCAAGCTGCGCGACATGTATTAGTCAACACTTTTTAACTCCAGCCGAAGACTCTTCCTATCTTGCAATGTAACCCATAAACTCCACTCCACGTATGCACTGATCACTTGTTTTAAAGGGGCAAAAATCACATTGAGTAGGATCCCACAACACCCAGATTCTACCACGGCCAGAAGTTTGGTAGTTATGACACCAAGAGCACCTAGTAGTGACCTTTGTTATTATAGAAGTTGCATACTTAATATTAGTTCTATGTTCTACTATGGCAATTAAGCCAACTTTATTCTCCTTAAATAAATGCTTTAAAGACTTCTGCTTATGCACCTTATTCAGTCCCCTTAATAAAATACTTATGCAGCTTTCAGAAACAAAAAGTTTAGAGTGATTTCACTGGATTAAATAGAGACAATATGAGGGTGAAAGATGAGGCAGGGGATTTGTTAGACAAGTGACCAGTGAAAACAAGAAGCTAACAGAGATGCTCATAGTGGTTTGTGAAAATTACAATGCTTGAAGAAACCAATTGAAGCATCTCTGTAAGCTTAATTGTTTCAAGAAGCCAAAGTCACAGTTGTTTCTATGAAGACTGAAGCGTATGATCAATACCTCTCTTGTAAGTACATACCCTTATTTCAATGACACTTCAGACTTATTCGTATATTAGCTAAAAGCTTAAGTTGTTAGAGAAAATATGCTATTAATTACTTACTTATGTCTTCAGCGCGCCAAGACTAATGAGATAAAGCAATGTGAACATATTCTTGTTCCTCCAATCTGTTTATTTCTTCCCCATCTTCCTTTTTGTTTTGTGATACATAGTACCTGGATGTGCAAAATACTAAAAATAGTAGGTTTGTTTTGGTTATGCAGGGGAAGTAGTCTGGACAGCCACAAGCTACTATTTTTCGCAGAACAACAGAGGCTTGTCAAGCAAAATGATCTTGCCGAGGAGCTTTTTCACATAGGAAAGGTATATAAAGGACAGGTCAGTGCCTTCTTTTCTTAACAGAGTGAGATAAGTTGCATTAGCATACTAATGATAAGCAGTAACAACATTCAATTCCTTTTTCCTTTTTCTAATGGATCTTTCTCCTGACTTATGATAAGAGATTTTAAAGTTCCTTCCTTGTATAAATATTGATCATTACAGTGATGCATCACTTGTCCAAAGCCATTTTTTTTGTGTGTGTTTTATAATCGTAAGTAGATGTTATACTTAATAAATACAGCGACATAGTTGGTGTAGAAGATGTCATATAGAGTTCAAAGTGACAACATTTGACTCTCAACTTGTAGGGAATTTCTTGTAGAGTCTATATATAAAACAACTCAAAAGCAGCTTACCTGACAAACCAAACTAGAAGAATTGAGGTTCAACAATCAACAGAGTGAAATGACTGAATTTACTTGTGTGACAGCTATGCTATTGGTGGTCTTGCAGGCGGTGAAGATATAGACTCCTTTTAGCGTGTCGTGACTCAGTGTACTGCTGCACTACCTGAGCATAAACCACGATATGTAATTGTATGTGTCACTCTTATGATGTTCCTTGGTAGATATAACTTGATGCCTCTATTTTCAAATTCTCTAGTTTTATATGTGATGCCTTCAGAGTTCTGAATAGTTGCAGGCCTTTTCTTGAGTATGGATGCTAGTGAACCCTGTTCATCAATAAAAGCAAGATTAGCGAATGACAATTTTTGTAGTGATTTGAAGTTTCTTGTAATCGTGAATGATATGTTTTAATTTAGTTTGAAAAATTAATAGTACACTTTATAATATATTTTTGTGTTGAAATATTTTGTTATTTCTTAATGCTAATAAGCCCCTTTTAGGTTCGACTATGATGTACATGTTAATTAGTCATTAATATTTAAAATTAAAAATTTCTAGCATAATGCTCTAAAAGGTTACATGTTCATAAATTACAGGGGTTAAAACTCCTGTTAATCCTAATGTAAAGTTCTGGGAGTTTTGACTCCCAAAGTTCACAAATTGTTGGGGTTTTGACTCCTAGAACTTGAACTGTAGTTTTTGATATACATTTCTGGGGTTCAAACCCTCACTAATAAACCCCTGTTAATGATAACAGGGGTTGGTCAAAAACTCCCGGGACTTAATTGTGGCACACCTAATTGTAGGGATTCTCTCAACTGCCGTAACACTAAATTGTGGGGGTTACTGACCACCGCAATATGTAATTTTAAACCCCGCAATTTAAGCGTTTTTTTGTAGTGTACCTCTTAAAGAATCGTTCTTATAAAGTTGTAAGATAAATCCGTAGTCACCACACATAAAGGTGTAAAGAAGAAATACCTCTCAAATAATATTAATCATGTTTGTCTCAAAATAATAAAATCAACCCCCATATATATAGGGAGAACCTATTCCAAATAGAATAGGATTTAAATCCTATTTTTATGGAAACTTTAAACTAGGAAAACTTTAAACTAGGTAACTTTTAAACTAGGAAACTTTAAACTAGAAAAACAGGAAAACTTTAAACTAGAAAACTTTTAAAATTAGGAAAACTTTTAAAATAGGAAATTTTGACTTTAAGCATTTAACTTTTTGGGCTCTTTTATTGGGCTTCGTGTGGCCCAATTTTCTTTCGCTTGGGCTTGAATTTGGACATTGCTTTTGTGATAAACATATTCTTGATTTTCATTGAAGCCCGTCAACTTCAATACAAGTAGGCTGACATGGATGCTATTAGGTGGTCATCCTGTCGATAATACAGAAGGTTCTTATGAGAATTTCTACGGCCAAACATGGACATTCAAGAGATTCTCATTTATTATTTCCCGTTAATTTGAGGGGAAAATCAAATTTACCATCTTTAGAGCATGCTCTAGGGAATTTTTACGTGACTGTAGTTGCTACAGTAGAGGCAAACCGGTCAAGGAAGGAGTTAAGTGACTTTGTTAACGTGGTAGGAAGTACAACAAGGGACATAGCTGCAGGCATTGGTAAGGCAAGCATCGATGATATTACCTCTGTCCGCTACCTATGGCACGGAAGTTATAAGCAAACTTGGCCAGAAAGATGTAGACAATTATCCCAGCACGAGTTGGTGTAGATTTCCTTGGTATAAAGCCGATTTTGGTTGGGGGAAGCCATGGTGGGCCGGTGAGCAGTGTTAGCAAAAATTATGAAGGAACAAGTCTGATGGACACAAAAGATGGTGATGGAATAGAAGTATGGATTGCTTTGAAGGAGAATGACATGGTTCAATTCGAGAGAAACCCTCACATTTTGTCCAACACTTTGGAAATCAGAATTTTAATAATCCTTAGAGAACTGATACATTATACAAGATTCCTTGGATCTATTAAGATACTCATTATATTAATTCTTTTATTTTTTTTACATTTGAATGGTGGTTTAATTTCACCTTGTAATTTGAAGAGAAATCAAAGCAAATAGTTTTCTTGTCACATTTTTTTGTTCCAAACATGATGAGCCTGATGGGAATATGCAAATGATATATCGAAAGTCAAAATTTATACATCAAAGACTGTTTTACACATTTAATTGTATAATTTATCTTTAAAATATATTGAATTTAATTTTAAATTTCTTATTCTATAAACAATTAATTTATATCTAGTCGGGCATAACTCATCGAGTATAATAATTATAAATATATAAATTTCTATTTCGCAATTTTTTTTAAAAATTATATATATATTATTATAAGTGGGAAGCTCCAACTTTCAAAGTTGGATTACCATTTTACCCCTCCACTAAATCAAAATAAAATTAATTAATTTATTAGATATTTTAATTACATAATGGTGGAATATGAAGTCCGACAGTTACACTTTAATTGTTTAGTTATGACATTATAATTATAATTGATTAGGTTAAATTCAATTAGAGTAGAAGACAAAATAATGTATGAAACTCTTCCAATTCGGTGACTCTTTGAATTTTGAAATCAAAATAAAATTTATGTATCATGATTCAATGTGCTCCATTAATACATTTTGGTAGGTGAAAACACAGTCAAATATCACTATAAATATCAATAAATTGCTCATTTGATCA